ATGAAGAAACTGCACTCTGGGCCGGGCAAGATTCTGGTCAGGGATGTCCAGGGGAGTCCACCAGTGCCACAGAGACATGACATGGGGTGGCCCAAGAAGGATTTGTAGCTAGAATCCCAGCCTAAAATCCAGTTCCTTATTTGGGTCTATATACCTCGCACAGCAGCTGGGGTGCTGTCTTTCACAGCCAAAGAAACGGTGCTTTAGGCTGGGCAAATCTCTGGTCAGGCATGTCCAAGACAGTCCCCCACATGGGACAGAGACATGTTCTGGGGTGGCCCAAGAAGGATTTCTAGCTATAATCCCAGCCCAAAATCCAGTTCCGTATTCAGATCCATACACTTTGCACTGTGGCTGGGCTGCTTTCAGTAGTCAGCCTGGCACGGCCAAACCGCACTTTGGGTTGGGCAAGTCTGTGGTCAGAGATGTCCAGGAGAGTCCCCCAGTGCCACAGAGGCATGGGGTGGCCCAAGAAGAATTTCTGTCTATAATTCCAGCCCAAAATCCAGTTCTTTATTTGGGTCCATGTATTTAGCACAGTGGCTGGGGTGCTGGCAGCTGGCAGCCTGGCATGGCCAAACTGCCCTTTAGGCCAGGCAAGTCTCCAGTCAGAGATGTGCAGTAGAGTCCCCTGGTGGCACAGAGGTGCGGTCTGGGGTGGGCCAAGAAGGATTTCTGCGTATAATCCCAGCCCAAAATCCAGTTCCTCATTCGGGTCCAGATACTTAGCACAGTGGCTGGGGCACTGTTAGCTGTCATCCTGGCATGCCCAAACTGTGTTTTAGGCTGGGCAAGTCTGTGGTCAGAGATGTCCAGGAGTGTCCCCCGGTGGCACAGAGGTGTGCCATGGGGTGGCCCAAAGAGGATTTCTAGCTGTAATCCCATCTCAAAAGCCAATTCCTTATTCAAGCCTATGCATTTAATACAATGGGCATGGGGGGCTGTCAGTTGGCAGCCAAGCATGGCCAAACTGTGCTTTGGGCTGGGCAAGTCTCTGGTCAGAGATGTCCAGGACAGTCCCTCAGTGCCATAGAGGCATTGTGTGGGGTGAACCCTGAAGGATTTCTACTATAATCCCAGCCCAAATTCCAGTTCATTATTCAGCTCCATATACTTAGCACTGTGGCTGGGGTGCTGTCAGTTGACAGCCTGGCACGTCCAAGCCATGCTTTAGGCCAGGCAAGTCTGTCCTCAGCGATGTGCAGGAGAGTTCCCCAGTGCCACAGAGACATGACGTGGAGTGGCCCAAGAAGAATTTCTATCTATAATCCCAGCCCAAAATCCAGTTCCTTATTCAGGTCGATATATTTAGCACAGTGGCTGCAGTGCTGTCTTTTGACAGCCTGGTGCGGCCAAATGGCACTTTGTACCAGGTAAGTCTCTGGTCTGACATGTGCAGGAGAGTCCCCCGGTGGCACAGAGACCTGCTCTGGAGTGGGCCAAGAAGGATTTCTAGCTATAATCCCAGCCCAAAATCCAGTTTTTTATTTGGGTCCATGTATTTAGCACAATGGCTGGGATGCTGTTAGTTGGCACCCTGGCATGGCCAAACCATGCTTTGGGCCAGGCAAGTCTGTGGTCAGAGATGTCCATGACAGTCCCCTAGTGCCAGAGAGACATGGTCTGTGGTGGTCCAGGAAGGATTTCTGAGTATAATTCCAGCCCAAAATCCAGTTCCTTATTTAGTTTCATATATTTAGCACAGTGGCTGGGGTGCTGTCAGTTGGCAGCCTAGCATGGCTAAACCATGCTTTGGCCGGGCAGGACTCTGATCAGATGCATTGGGTAGAGTCCCTGGTGGCACAGAGGTATTTTGGTGGGTGGCCCAAGCAGAATTTATAGGCACAATCCCAGCCCAAAAGCCAGTTCCTTATTCAAGCCATTATAGTATAGTAGGCATGGGGGCTGTTAGTTGGCAGCCTGGCATGGCCAAATTGTGCTTTAGGTTGGGCAGGACTGTGGTCAGTGTTCTTTGGGACCATCCCCCAGTGCCATCAACAGGAAGTCTGGGGTGGCCCAAGAAGTATTTTGTCCCATAATCCCATCCTAATCTGACCTTCATTTAGTGCTCTGTACTTGATATGGGATATTATTTTACATATTAATTAGTACACATGCACTGCTAATAAAATTCTCTCTCTTTAGGATGTGTAATTCATTAATAACAAGCTTCTATTGGGTCTAAATTATCTTTGAAAAAGGAACCAGGAATAAGGAGCTGGGAATAAGGAATAAGGAACCGGGAATAAGCAACCAATTTCAGCCTCATAAACCCCAGGCACTTCTGCCCTACCATGCATTGCCAAACAGCCATGGCAGTTACCCAATTATGATTCTAAGCTCTGCAGTCTCTGTGCACACACAATACAGGTGGAGCAATGCGCAGCTACAGCTGAAGATGCGCTCTGTGGCTGCAAACCGACAGTCATGCAAAGGGAAGCTACCTTGAGCACTGCTTCTGAAAGGGAACCAAGGGGTGGAGTTCTGCAGTGCAGTCTGGGATGTAGCTGAGAGCACCCTGCTGCAGGAACTAGGCCCAGTGACTGCCCACAGGGAGGTAGCATACCTAGGATCTGAGCAGGCCTGGGGGAGAGGCCAAAGGAGAACACAATGAATGCCCAGCACAGCCCTCAGACATTGCGATTCCTTGTCTCTTCTCTCCTTGTAGCTCAGAAACTGAAGTTCCTATAGTGTCCGTCCCCTGCCACTGCCCCCACCTTTCCAGTTCACAGGAGACCAAGGATGGCAAAGGCAGGGAGAGGGTACTGCTGCCTGGAGTGGAGCAGACTAGCTACGGTGGGCTGCAGCAAACAGCATGAGCATGACAGGGAGCAGCAGTACTTGGCTCCACAACTGGGGGATGCACAAATCAGGAGGCAAACTTGGCTGGCCTATGCCAATGAGACATTCCCCTTCTAGCTAATTCATTGGCCAATTCATTGGCCTGCTCTGGACAAGAGCCATGCTACTGCCCCCCCCCCCCCCCC